TTTATCTCCACTTGGAGGAAAGCCTCCCACCAAACTTAGCCTTGGTTTTTGGCTTTAAGTGAGTAAAAAATAAACATCTATTTCAGTGATACACAAGATCTGGAGATTCATCTTTTGTGGCAGCCACCCTTAAAGGTAAGGTGATATATATATATATATAAGGTGAATATTTATTTATTTATTTGTTTGTTTATACTAATATACCTGGTGAACTCCTCATCTTTGGAGCCCTCTTCAGATGCCTTCTCTTTTAGGAAGCCTTTGTGGTACCCCCAGAGCCCTTTAAACATGCATCACTTACTGCTACCCCCACCCCCAATGCTTGACTTATTTACCCACCTCTTTTCACATTAGACCATCAACTCAGTAAAGGTAGAGATACTGATCTTTGTAATTCTAGATTCTAGCAGAAGGAGTGAAAGATAGGAGATGTACAATATATAAAAATTCACTCATAAGTATTTATTGAACTCATTCTATGTGCTAGACACTGTTCTAGCACTGGGAATACAGTGTGGACAAAACAGGTAAAAATCCCTGTCCTCCATATTTTAAACGTTAACACGTTGACTTTAGCAGTGTTTTAGATATTTGCCTTCCTGAATTTTAAGAAAAATGACTTACACTGGGACTTAAATAATAACTTGACATTATAGAAATGAGAGTGTAAGAGGCAGCTGCCAGCTTCAGATGGTGTTACTTCATAACCTTTTTTAAAATGCCACAAGCAAGAAAAAATCTGTACTCGTGGAGCTTACATTGCCATGGGGGAACTAGATGTAAATAAATACAATACGTGTAGAATATCCATACTGCTGATACAGGCCCTAGAGGAAAATAAAGCAGAGAGAGGCAAACGGGATTATAGGTTAGGACTGTAGTTTTAAATTAGGTGTTCTCAGAAAGCCCCACTGAGAAGACAGAGTTTTAGCAAATACCTGAAGGAAGTGAGGAGTGAAACTGTGCAGGTGTTTGTAGGAAAAGCATTCCAGGCCAAGGACTGCAAGTGCAAAGGAATGGCAAGGGGGTGTGCATGGATGGGGCACAATGAGTGAGGTGGGGAGAGGAGCTGAAGTCCAGGAGGGTGTGTGTGTGTGGGTGTGCACATGCTTGTATACATGTGTGCATGTGTATAGGGAGGAGGGCAGAATTTATAAACTTTTGAAAGACTTAGCTTTGTACTCAAATGGAAGTAGGAAACTACTTCAGTATTTCAAATAGGGAAGTGATCTGATCTGATACACATTTTAACAGGTCACTCTGCTGTGTTGAGAGAAGGCTGTGTAGAGGGTTATGGAAATAGAGAGACAAGTCACAAGGCAATTTTAATTATATAGGCAAAAGATTATGGTAATTTGGACAGGGTGGTATTTTGGATATATTTTCAAGGTAGGATTTGTCGATGGATCAGATGTGGAATATGATAAAGAAGTCAAGGAGGACTCCAAGATTTTGATGTGAGCAACTGAAAGGATGGATTTGTAATTGAAGGAGGAGAGATGACTATGAGAGGGGTGAGGGAGATGGGGAATTTGGATTCGGACTTATGCCTATACTATGTCCAAATGGAGATGTTGAGTCAGCACATAGAAGGTATGTAAAAATCAAAGGAAATGCGTGTACATTGAAAAGAAAAGAAATCCAAGGACAGAATCAGGGGTACTCCAGATTGCAGAGTTCAGGAAGGTGAGTGAGAATCATCGAAGAACCAATTCCTTCTGAGCTGCCAGTGAGTAAGAGAAGATTCAAGAGAAAAGTGGTCCTGGCAGCCCACTGAACATAGCAGGGACAGAGAGATTAGTTGTGTCACATTCCACAGTTAGGTTGAGTAACATGAAGACTGAGAATTGATCAAAGGATTTACCAAATGAAGGTCATTGTTAACTTCATCCAGAGTGTTTGCTCAATGAATGAGTGAATGATTTTAACTCTTTCTCCAGGACCCAAGAGTGTAGGGACTATGTCTGTTTCTCCAGGAGGAGGTTGCTGAGCTGATAAATGATTGTAGGATTGATTGAATGAAATGGCTTTCCCTTTGGTGTCTGGCCAGTTCCTACTTTATTTTTATTAGACTTGTAGAGGGTGGGAACTGCACAAAGTTCCCAATCTCTAAAAGCCAGGCTGTCTGGAATTGGTTGTGGTTATGTCTTTGTGCTATTCCACAGAACCACACAACACCCCAAGCCCTTCAGGGCAGAGTCATCACCAACATCAAAACAGAGATGCTGTAGTTCCAAAATCACAGGAGAACATCCGCAAACTAACACAGATGAATATAGTTCCTTCAGTCAGACTTTTGGGAGAAAGCACATTTGTGAGATAACTAACTCATAGCACTGTTCAATAAAATATTTCCTTGGAAAATTTGATGATTCAAGGCACATTTCCATAAAATACCAATGAAATACCTGTTTTTAAGTAAAAAACAGATGGACCTTGGTGCATTGTTCTCTGAAAAGAGGAGGATTCTTGGGGCAGTCATTCTATAGTTAACTACAATTTCTTGACTATTTACTGCATACCAGGAACTGTGCAAAGAAGGGCATTACGAGCATTTAGCAAACCAACTCTTCACAATCACCCTATGAGAAAGGTACTATGATCATCCCCAGATTATAGATGTAATAGTAATAGGTTACAGATGACATATCGGGGGATTGGAAAGATTGAAGGGACATCATAGGAATTGAGTGTCTTCCCTAGGGAGGGACCCTCAGGAGTGAACTGAACCCCACCAGAACTGTCTCCTGGACAGGATGAGAAAGGCCCCTGTGCTGCTGCTGGTAATCAACTTTTTCTGGGAGGAAAAGAGGGCATAGGCGACATCCTGAGAGCAGGGGTGCAGGTGGGAGGCATGAAGACTCCTAAGAGAAAATACGGAAAAAAGAATATTTGTTGAACTTCTATGCATCAAACACAGTCCCAATCTATTTACCAGATACCTTACACTAGAAAAAGAGTAAGTCCATTTTATACGTAAGAAACCTACAGCTTAGAGAGGGTAATTTCTTCAGGGTCACACAGATGTTAGCAAGGGGAGAAGCCAGAATTTGTCCACAGGGTTATATGATTGCAAAAGCTAAATTCTTATCACATTCCCAAATGAACTGGAGGCAAAGCATTGAGAGGTTCCTAAGAGACAGGGCTACTGAAAGGCAGTCATTAAAAAGAATCGTCTCATTCACTTGACAGCTTTCCCTGGCCATTCTCATCTGTGTGTGTGTTGGGAGGCAGTCCGTTTCTGTTAGAGAGCAATTGTTCCATTCTCATGGCATTTTCAGGGCCATTTGCTTCTCTTCCTTTCCAACAGTGTATTCTCTGCTCCTGTGAGCTCTCGTCAGGGCAGAGAGAAGAGGTAGAATGCCAACCATCCACTTAGGTGCCTTTGGGGAAATGTCTTATTGGGGATATGGTTGAAACAATTGACTAACATGACATTGTATACAATTTTGTCTGCCTGAGTTATCTGGAACCCACATTAGTTCTTTTAATTGGCCCCATGGTGGGTTCAGTAAGAAATCACACAGGGCCCTTTTCAGATATAAGCTCTACCCTAGAAACACAGGACTATGACTATTCAGTTTATAGTTTGTTCAAAAAATAGTGATGGTCAAACTCTCCAAACTTCGTCTTCTAATGACAATCATGGACTCTAAGGGTTCAAACCCCAAGAGGCGATCTGGACTCACCCAATCTGGCCCTTGAGCCTGGGGAGGCAAGTCTCCCTCCAACATGCCAGATGATGCCCTGGTCCTTTGCTCCAAGCCCTGCAGTGATGGGGCCCTCAGTTTCACCAGGCAGACCCTCAGGCCTGGGGCCAGCAGCACTTGTCTACATCCAGGCAGAATCAGCCTCTCACTGTGGCTTCCACCTACTTCTGCTCTCAGGAGATACTCAAATCACGTCTAATCCTCTTCTACATGTTAATCCTCCAAGTATCTGAAGACCACTCAAATGTTTCTCTTTTCTGTTCCTATAGGTTCCTATACCTATTTGTTTCAATAGGTAACAGTAAACTGTATTTTATTTACTTTTTTAAAGCAAGTAAAAGTAAGGCACTGCCAAGATTGATGAAGGCCCTTGTGCACCCAATTCTGCCTTACAGTCCTCTCTCCACCCCCTCCATCTTCTTTGGTCTACAGGATCCCACTGGATTGGTCTACTGGATCCCTTCAGGATTCCAGCAGAAGAGACCCTGCTGGAAGCATTTATAGTGCAATTCATAGAGAAAGTCACAGGCACAGACTGGAGTTTAAATGTGGGGGACATTTACAAGCTATCAATGAACTGTGTAACTGGGCATGTGTCCAACCTTGCTAAGCTCCATTTTCTTGTCTGTGAATATGGGAATAGTCATCATACTTAACTGAGTGAGTTGTCAGGATAAAATTAGTGCTTCTAAATCATTAGCACTTGGTACTTTAAGTAGCTGTTTCAGCTATTTCCTCCCCCTCCATCTGACAGACAAGGAAACAGACTTAGAAGGGGTTGAAGAGGCTTGTTCTAGGTCACAGCTAGTTAACAGCAGAGCGAACACGTAGTCCCAGATCCCTGACCCCCCTTGCTGGGACACCTTCCTGCTTTCGTTGGGGTCCGCGGCCGTCTTGCCCCCGTACATTAAGAACTCACTCGTCATCGCACAGTGCCCAGTACACTAGGAGCCACCACCAATTACCGACAGTAACCACGGTGAGCTGGTAGGGTTTTGCCTTTGGGCCATTTCAGAAAGGGGTGGGAGGGAGACGGAGGACATTGGCTCTTCAGGAGTAGTCAACATGATTTCTAGGCGTGGCCCAGGCCAGGAAGAACCTGAGATAGGACCGTTCCTGCCATTTGCATTCCAATACAGCTACTCCACCTAACCGGCTCCGCCCGCGGGCGGCTTCCGCAGCCTCGGGAACCGCAGCAGGTTCACCTCCGACCGGGAGCGGCGGCCGCGGCGCGGGTCCAGGGGCCGGGGGCGGGTCCAACGGCCGGGGGCGGGGCCGGGACGCGCCCTCCGACCCCTGGGCGTGGCCCCGCACAGGTGTGTCTTGCTGCTCGGGTTTCACTGAAACTTCGGCTCTTGGAGGTGCGCGCCAGACCTTCCAGTTAGGGGCTGTGAGAGGGTGGTTTCTCTCCGCCTACCGAGTGGGACTGTGGAGTTTCCAGTGGCGGCGAATGCCCAGTCCGCCCGGCGTGGGGGCTGCGGGAAGGATGCGAAGTCTGAGCGCGGCTTGGCTACTGGGGGGAGCCATCCTGCTGGCGGCCTGCGCCCCTGGAAGCTGTACCACCCCAGGTGAGAAACTTGGCTAAGAAGGGTTCGTGCCGCTAGGAAGCGGGGGTCCAGGGCTCCGTGGGTAGGTGGTGGAAGCGGGGCAGGTGCGCGAAGGGTGCTCTGCTGCTACCCCACCACCTCCACCACTTCCGCTCACCCGCAGCCCAGTCTCGGCGGCTTTGATGGGCGATCCCTGCGCCTGGGGAGTAACCAGCTGGGACCACGCCGAGAGTCTGAAGTCGGTGGAGGGGAAGGGGAGGAAACAGGGTGCTCGCGTCTGAAGGGCACCTAGAGGGCCCAGCCTCCCATCCCCTGGGTTGGCAGATTTGCAAACACTAAGTCATTAAAAAGCGCTTCTCACACCCTGGGGACTTCTCGGGGATGGTCCCGCGGGCCTCTGGGAGTTACCGAGCTGATGGCTCAGAGACGGGTGGGGTGGGTGGGAACTCGTGGCCTGGGAACCTTCTACCTCGCTTTTTGCAACCTCCTTCCACCTTTGGAGCCCCCACTTTGAGTCGGCCCACGGTGTTCAAGACCCACCCGAGGCCCGCAGGTCCTCAGGCACCGTGGATGGCCCGGGTTATGGGAGTTGGGGCCGGACCCTGCTGCGTTGGGGCGAGCAGGGCTGGGGCGAGTAGAGCTCAGCTTCGAGTTTGAGGCCACTCGGGCGTCAAGCGAACTTACAAGTGGAACTTCTTGAATCCTTTCTTTATATTCGACCTGGTGACCGTAGCGGCCCTGAGTTTCCAGGCGCCTGGGTGCCCCACGGAGCATACACTGGTTACCACTCAGGTCTGTAAACCGGAGGCTGCCAGGTCCAGGAATGGAAGAGTAGGGGAGCCTTCCCGGGCGGTGCTCAGGCGTTGGCTTGCGCCGCACGGCCCGGTCCCGCGGGTGTGCGGCCCCGGGTGTGCTCGAACCTGTCCTGTGGGGCGGGAGCAGGCCTCTGAGCGCGTCGGGGATGTTGGGCCTGAGATTGCGTTGCGGTGATACTAACGGACACGGGCTGTTAGGAACAGGCGCCGGTAGCCTTTAAAGGAAGGTTTTAATTTCTCTGCGAAATTCTCACATCTGCCGTAAAAGGCAGTTTCTCATTTTTATTCTCTTCAAAAGAGATGTTGTAAAAGACAAATCACTGTGAATTGGAATTAGATTAAAGAATGTGATTCTTTTCCTCTGGAATTAACAGAAAAGGCTGTTACGGTGTATACTTGAAAACTGCACCACTGTATACATTTCATTAGTCAGTATCAGACTAAATGCATTATTCCAGGAAGTATTGAAGCTGTGATGAACATTTCTCCTTTACCTTTGTTTCTTAAAGGTAGAAACTTAAAAATCAGGAGCAAAACTTAGTATGTGAAAACATTATAAAAAAAAATAAGTGGATGTAGGTGGTTTAAGCTTTTAATGATTCGGACAGTTCCTGTAGGAAGTTTGCCCCTAGTATTTGGCTTGTTCTTGTTTCAAATTGAGGAGTTGAGGCAGGGGGGTTTCCTGGCGAATAAGATGAACTTGATTTTACAAAAAAAAAATCAAGTTATTTGTTAACCTGAGCTATTTAATACTGCACCTTGGTTTTCCGCTGGCTCCCCACCCTGCCCCCAGGAGCTTTCCTCCCAACTTGAAACTAAATTGATTTTGATGATGAATTAGAGCATTGTCAGAGTTTTCTGCCCCTCAGCATACATCTTTGCCTCATCCCTTTTAACTTGACTCTCCTGTGGTTTGACCCTTATGTGTGTTCCTCAGTTTGCTAAAGCTTTGAGATTTTCTGCCCCAAAGGTCTCACTTCAAAAGATTGCCCCCTGGAAGGACACTTAGCCTAGAGTACAAGTTTCTCATTTTACAGATAGGGGTCACTGAACTGGTGGGGGCAAGGGAGACACTCCATCAAGCCCCCACTTTCTTCTCTATCACAACAATAAATCATTTGTGTAAATATGTTTCATCTGTCAGCCCACTGGATCATATACTCTGGGAGGCCAGGAGCCCTAAGTTGTCTCCATTACCGTGGTCCAGCGCAGTCTGACAACCTAAAGGATCAGTAAATACCAAATGAGAAATAAAGCAAGGAAACCACCCAGAGTGACCTGTAAGGTTGAAGGGCACTTTGGCAATTAAGTTGGCTTGTTGCAGGTATTTCTATCTTCCTGCTGCCTCCCAAGCCTGGAAGGTCCCCTGATGGTCATTTCATTTTTTGGAGACTGAAACTAATGTGTCTCATTTTTAATTATAAAACTAATATGTGGTCACAGAGGAGAAATGAGCCCCCTTCTCAAAATGAGGGGAAAGTTTGATGAAATCACCCTCGGTACCCAAAGTAAACAGTTAACGTTTTTGTTTATGTCATTTCCCGTGACAACCATGCATAAAATATATACTCACAAATATAGAAAATACTTTTGTACAGTATGGGAACATATAAACAGCAGTATCATATAAGTATATATATATATATTTTTTTTTTTATTAAAGGGTAGTTGACACACAGTATTACATTAGTTGCAGGTGTACAACACAGTGATTCAACATTTATATACATGGTAATTCTAGCTACCAGCTATCACCATACAAAGTTGTTACAATATTTTGACTATATTCCTTATGCTATACATTACATCCCGGTTACTTATTTATTTTACAATTGGAAGTCTGTACTTTTTTTGTTTGTTTGTTTTTTGTTTTTGAGAGGGCATCTCATATTTATTGATCAAATGGTTGTTAACAACAATAAAATTCTGTATAGGGGAGTCAATGCTCAATGCACAATCATTAATCCACCCCAAGCCTAATTCTCGTCAGTCTCCAATCTTCTGAAGCATAGCGAACAAGTTCTTACATGGTGAACAAATTCGTAATAAGTATATTTTTAATGACTCTAAAATATGTTATAAGAGGATGTGTCATAAGTTTTACATAGGTCCTCTGTTGATAGAGATCATGAGATGTTTCCAGTCTTTTGTGATGAGAGAGAACACTGTAATGAACATGAGGATGGGACTTCTATATTTGTGTTTGGTTTCCTTGCTTGCCTTGTAAGTAGTTACTAATTAACCTTGGTAGGTGATGTTCTGGTGAAGTCTGTGTTTAACTTTCTCATAGTTTTATTAGCTGAGCAAGTGTTACGAGGAAAACAGTTCATCCTGAATGAACACATGACAGTGTACCAAAGTGTGCTAGGGAGGGTTACCAGGCATTGAAGCTTTTTATTTTTCAGTCTGCATTCCCAAAAGTTAGGAGCCAGAGAAAATAAGGAATGAGGAGATAGATAGTAGGGAAAAGGATACAAGAGAACAGTTAACACAGTAAAAGTACTTGCTATGTGTGTCCTTTGTTGGGAAGGGAAGGCCACAGGAGGATGCACAAACAAAGAACAAGTAGTGTTTTAAGTTAAAAGTTTTTATTATGTGCATCTTTCACTTTTTAATGCTTCTGGTTTATACAATTTTGAGAGAAAGTCCCCATTCTCTCCCTTCTCCACAGACTTCTCTGCACAAATACATACATGTATTTTTTTTTCTGATAATAGAAGGGATCATATTGTAAATACTGTCCTGCAAAATTCATTTTTTAACCTACTAAGTCTGTTCATGGTCAGTGTACAGAAATCTGTCCATACATTTTTTTAAATTTTTTGGTATCATTAATCTACAATTACATGAAGGACATTATGTTTACTAGGCTCCCCCCTTCACCAAGTCCCCCCCATATACCCCTTCACAGTTACTATCAGCGTAGTAAAATGCTGTAAAATCACTACTTGTCTTCTCTGTGTTGCACAGCCCTCCCTGTGCCCCCCCCACACACTATACATGCTAATCATAATACCCCCTTTCTTTTTCCCCGCCCTTATCCCTCCCTTCCCACCCATCCTCCACAGTCCTTTCCCTTTGGCAATTGTTAGTCCATTCTTGGGTTCTGTGATTCTGCTGCTGTTTTGTTCCTTGAGTTTTCCTTTGCTCTTGTACTCCACATATGAGTGAAATCATTTGGTACTTGTCTTTCTCCGCCTGGCTTATTTCACGGAGCATAATACCCTCTAGCTCCATCCATGTTGTTGCAAATGGTAGGATCTGTTTTTTTCTTATGGCTGA